AAAATAGAACTACCCTATGACCCAGCAATTGCACTGCAGGGTATTTACCCTAAAGATACAAACGTAGTGATTCAAAGGGGCATGTGCACCCGAATGTTTATAGCAGCAATGTCTACAATAGCCAAACTATGGAAAGAACCTAGATGTCCATCAACAGATGAATGGATAAAGAAGAAGTGGTATATATACTCAATGGAATACTATGCAGCCATCAAAAAATGAAATCTTGCCATTTGCGATGATGTGGATGGAACTAGAGGGTATTATGCTTAGCGAAATAAGTCAATTGGAGAAAGAAAACTATCATATGATCTCCCTGATATGAGGGAGAGAAGATGCAATTGGGGGGTTAAAGGGGTAGGAGAAGAGTAAATGAAACAAGATGGGATTGGGAGGGAGACAAACCATAAGTGACTCTTAATCTCACAAAACAAACTGATGGTTGATGGGGGGAGGGGGTTTGGGAGAGTGGCGGTGGGGTTATGGACATTGGGGAGGGTAGGTGCTATGGTGAGTGCTGTGAAGTGTGTAAACCTGGCGATTCACAGACCTGTACCCCTGGGGATAAAAATATATTATATGTTTAAAAAAAATAAAATTTAAATAGCAGAATGTTTTGAGAACCAAATTAACTGCATCTTGTTGGGGGAAAGGAAATGATTTTGTTTTTACCCAGTTTGCCATTCATAATGCAAAAATAATTTTTAGCTGCTTATTTGCTGATTTAGTTTTTTTTTTTTTGGCTAATATTTATTATTCTTTTAAGATGTTCTAGTAATTGTAAATGTTTCTTTTCACACTCAGTCTCATGTTATCTTCATAGTAGTCCTATAATGTAGGTATTATAAGTATCTTCCATCTGACAGAAAATTTCAAGGCATTGGAAATGCAGGTAGTTATCTTAGATTCCGTTGGATTGAAAGAGGTAAAATATGGACCCAGTACATGTGATTCCTTTGCTTGGAGCAAATGACATAGAATGACTGATGTCATCACTTGTCCCAGACATCCTTTGCCCATCCACATTTCCCATATGACAAGGATACTAAATGTATTAGAAGAAATAAGGCTGTTTTGTCAGATGTGTAGTCAAGCACACCTGTCAATACTTTTTCTTCTACTGAGAACCTCAGGAACCAAACGTTAACAAGGCATTGCATTCCACAGGCTTCACGACCATCCACTCATTTTCTCAGATAGGTCTCAGCTATGAAGAAAGAGCTGAACAGGAATTACTCATAAGTGAATGAGTTCATTCTGCTGGGATTCAGAACAGCTCCAGACATACAGATTCTCTTATTCTTACTCTTCTTGCTCATTTACATGGTCATTGTGGTGGGAAATATTAGCATGATAATTGTCATTAAAATAGACTCCAAACTTCATACACCTATGTATTTCTTTCCCAGAAACTTGTCCTATTTAGATCACAGTTACTCCACAGTCATTGCTCCCAAAACTCTGGCTACTTTCTTGTCAAAGGACAAGAAAATTTCCTACAATGGCTGTGCAACACAGTTCTTTTTCTTCGCTCTCTGTGTTGGGACCGAAGGCTTTCTTCTGGCCGTTATGGCATATGATCGCTTCTCCGCCATTTGCTCGCCCTTCCTCTATCCTGTACATATGTCTCAACAGGCTTGTGCTCGTTTGGTGATTGGTTCCTATATATGTGGAGGCGTTAACTCCATGATACAAACAGGTTTCACCTTCAGTTTGCGTTTCTGTGGAGAAAACAGACTGGACCACTTTTTCTGTGACGTTCCAGCCCTGATCAAGAGCTCTTGTGATGACACTTTTGTGAACGAGATTGTGCTGTTCATTCTCTCTGCCCTCATCATCATCACCACCACAACTGTCATTCTGGTTTCCTATGCTTATATTCTATCCACTGTCTTGAAGATCCCCTCCACCCATGGCAGGAGTAAGACTTTCTCCACTTGCAGCTCTCACATCACTGTGGTGAGTTTATTCTATGGTACTGTGTTCTTCATGTCCTCACCAGAAAAAAGCAAGATTATAGCTGTGTTCTATACTCTTATCATCCCTATGTTAAATCCACTGATTTATAGTCTAAGGAACAGAGAGGTGAAAAATGCTGTGAAAAGAGTATTGTTAAAAAAATTATCTTTTCACTGACACCCAGACATCTATGAAACTGCAGATAGACTAAAAGCAATATTTTTAATAATTTTTTATAGAATAGTTTCAATGAAAGCCATCCAAAAGTTTTGAAGATCAAGGTTTGTTTTATTTTTTATAACATCAATAGATTCTTTAGGAAAGACTAAAAACCAATATAGATTTTCATAATCCTACATAATTATTTCACAGTGTGATATCTAGTTATTATATAGGCTTGTTCTCCATGTTTTATTTACTTAGGTGTATGAAAAATTGCAACTTACAAATATAGTATACTACATTAATACATTCAACTTATTGATATAATATCTATAAATATATGTGAATATGTGTATTTACTTATCCATCTATGTATCAGGAAAAGGAAAAAGCTGAAAGAGACACACACTATGCTCTATGTTTTCTCCAAATCATAATCAAGTTTGCCACTGTCCAATCTTTGCAAATGAGAATTCAAGGTGCTATGGTAATGTAAATTGCTGGTTTTGTCTAAATTATACAAAGGAGTGGTACAAAGTATTACACTAATAATATCCTTCATAATATCCTTCCATCATCTAAAAATTAATGATTCCATCAAGAAGCAAAAAGTAAAAAATGAATAAATAAATAAATAAATAAACAAATAAATAAATATGGTTCCTATAAAACTATTTTGTCATGGGATCTTATAATAAATGTTTGATAATCTTTCCGCTATCACTCATGTTTATTGGTTTCAATACTGTCTATTTATATTCTGGGATCATTTTCACAACCCATATATTGATTGAAAATCCTTATTTTTCTCTAGATTTGAAAAAATATTGCTATGGAGGAACATAAAATCACATCTTAATATAATTTAATTCTTTTGATGTCTGTGGTTTTCTATACTTTGTATTATTAATCCTTAGAACTTCATCTTTTTATGTTCTTTTTTTAAAAAGATTTTATTTATTTATTTGAGAGACAGAACATGAGAGAGAGAGAGCACAAGTGGGAGGAAGGACAGAAGGAGAGGGAGAAGTAGACTCCCCACTGAGCAGGGAAGGGAGACTGATATGGGGTTCCATTCCAGGACCTGGGGACTGTGACCTGAGCCGAAAGCAGACACTTAACTGACTGAGCCACCCAGGTGTCTCCAGTTTATATTCCTTAATTAAATTTGCCATAGTTTTGACTTCATACCATGAGAATTTTGAGTTTCTGATTGTTTAGATATATTCAAAATTACAACTCATAAATTTAATACAGACATTTAATACAGAACATATTAGGTTCATTAATATGATATCTGCATATATATATTTCTGAATTCATATGTGGAATTATTGGTTACTTTACTTTCTGTTTTCATTTTAATGACATATTTAAAACTTTTATATAATTTTCCGTGTAATTTGCTTTTGTTTTCATCATTATATAAATAATTTTTCTGTTTACTTTTAATGTCAAGGATTCTTTAGATGATGTTTCTTATTCTGATGTTCTTGACTTATTTAGATGATAACTTTTTATTGTTGTTTAAATGTAAAAAACAATATCTCATAGATGAAAGAGTATTTGATAACTTTTTACTCTATTTTAGGATTTTAAAAACAGTGAAATCAGAAAAATAACAAAACTTCCGGGCACCTTGATGGCTCAGTCGGTTAAGTATCTGCCTTCAGCTCAGGTCATAATCTCAGGGTCCTGGGATCAAGCCCTGTGTCAGGCTCCCTGCTTAGGGTCTGCTTCTCCCTATTCCTCTGCCTCTTCCCTGTTCATGCTCTCTCTCTCAAATAAATAAATAAAACCTTTTTTTTTTTTAAGAAAAACAACTAAACTTCATTAATCTGTCAAATTACATTTATACAAACTGAATGAACACACATTCTAAAGGGGAAGATGTTAGACATATTTTCTTTAAAATTAAGAATAGAAAATTCTTAAAATTAAGAATAGAAAAATTAAGAAATAGACAAAATGTCCATTATCCCCAAAAAGATGCAGTTCAGCATCTTATTGTATCTAGTAAGAGCAATGTGATGATAAATAGAAATTTCAAGTATAAGAGATTAAGTATATGAACTTATAACTTAAGTTGCTTATAACTTAAGTAAACGAACAGTTCATTTACATTATTTTTATTCATTTACATGATTATTTACAAAGAAAATATGTATGTTTCAAATATGTTCATTTACATTATTATTTATAAAGAAAATATGAAGGAAGTGCTTATATAGATGTCTGGATTAATATAAAAAATCAATTTCATTGGGTGCCTGGGTGGCTCAAATGGTTAAGCCTTTGGCTCAGGTCATGATTTTCCGATCCTGGGATCGAGCCCTGCATTGGGCTTTGGCTCATTGGCAAGTCTGCTTCTCCCTCTCCCTGTGAACAACTAAAATATTTAATAAAAGGCTACGCCATTTATATCTGTATCAGAGATTATCAAGAATTTAGTATAATTCAGCAAAAGATGTATAAGACCTCAATGTGGAAAATTATAAAATTCCTTGGATTATGCAGTAGAAAAATATCCTTCAAAAATTACAAAGAAGAAGAGAAGAGTGATGTCAGCAAGATGATGGAATAAGCCATCCATGTCTCATATTCCTGAACAATAATTTGTCATCCATCCAGCGACAAAACTGCCTTTGTGGGAGGTTTGGGATCCAGACTGGAGACTCTGCAGTTCAAGACTGTAGAGAACTGTTTTGAGATCACTGGCCCACAATCAAGCAATTTGACTTGTCAACATGGTGCCAGTTACAGTCCTGGAAACAGCTCTAAACCCCTGAAGACTCAAATACAGCCCCTTTTGTCTTGATCCTGTGACCAGTCCCATATGGCAAGGCACTTAAAGGCAATCATGTCCATCCCTGGGTTGCATAACAAGCATGCAAACTTCCATCTTGTCTGTGGACCCTGAAATAGGTGGCAAACAAGCTCTAGCCCCTCTCAGCCAGAGTCTGGGAGCTCCTGGAGATAAGCCCATCAAACTGAGTCAGACTGTAGATTCTGAGTAGTCCTGTAATGGGGTTCCAGCCTGTCCCCGCAGCAGTTCATCAGGTGTCCTGCTGACACAGGGACTAAGCAGGAAACTCTTCTGTCTGCACACCCAAAGATCCGAAAGGGCCATATATTTGACTCCAGGCCCCTATAGCCACAGCGGCCAGCAGTCCTGCAGGTCTGGGGATGCAGCAGGAGATACTATTATTCGTGTATCTGGTGATAGATTGCGACTGAGGACCTGACTATGGACCCTGAAGCAGATTCTCATCTTAGTACCACCCTCCTGAACAAACTACTTGAGGCAGTCCCATCTACCCAGAGGCCAGACCAAAAATGCCCACCGGAGTCCCTGGTAATAAGCATGCCAAATACAGACCCCACTACAGACCCAGTGACAGTCTCAAATTGGCTCCAATCCAGCACTACTGCAATTCCGGAGATAATTCCATCAGCTCAGGGAACCAAAAGAAGGACTTCACCTGCCAAAAACAGTCCATAAATCCTGGAGGAGATGTTTACTCCTTCAAACAAGTGGATACCAATGCAAAGCCACATAGATCATGAAGAATCAGACAAACATGATGACATCAACAAATGAAATTAACAAAGATCTTGTAACTGACCCCATAGAAAAGGGGATCTACAATTTGCCTGAGAATTCAAAATAATTATGTTAAAGAAACTCAGTGAAATACAAGAGAGCACAGACAACTAAATAGAATCAGAAAAACAATGCATGAACATGTTGTTGTGTAGAAAACAGGTTTTCTTCATAATTTTAATGTAAACATATCAGCCAATCTAATAAACTTTTCTGGAAGTTTCAGTACAAAGAAAAAAAAATTCAAGGGAAAAAGAAATTTCCAGGGAATAAATGTAGCATTGATCAATTGTGCCTTGGGAGTATGAATTGTTTCTCATCCACAGGAAAAAAAAATGAAATTGAGAAAAAAAAATTAATACAAGGGCTTCAATTGTGTAAGAACAGATAAGTACAAGTAAAGGGAAAAAAATTCCAGAGAGTAAATGTAGCTTAGGTCTATTTATTCTGCCTTGGAATTATGAGTTGTTTCTGTTCCATAGGAAAAAAAAAATGAATAGAGAAAAAATTTTCAAGATTACAAAAGACTTCAATCATGTAAGAAAAGATAAGTACATGTAAGAGTAGTTTTGCCCATCAAAGGGCACTTTATAAAAAGTAAAGTCATAAAATGCAAGCTTAAAGAATATGTTCACAGTACTCACAACCAATAAGATTATATACTGAGCTCTACACATCTGTAAGATGGTGCAATTGACCAATATTTTTTTTAAAGATTTTATTTATTTATTTGACAGACAAAGATTATAAGCAGGCAGAGAGGCAGGCAGAGAGAGAGGAGGAAGCATGTTCCCTGCTGAGCAGAGAGCCCAATGCGGGGCTCGATCCAGGACCCGGGTATCATGACCTGAGCCGAAGGCAGAGGCTTTAACCCACTGAGTCACACAGGCACCCCTGCAATTAACCAATATTAAATGCATAAAATATTAGCACACACTTCACAGAAGAGCAAACGATATTGAAAATTTATTGGGATGTTCTATATCAATTGGGTTAGAAAAATGGAAATCAAGATTATAATACAAAATTCAATTTTATACCTGCTTAATTGGAAAGAAATGAAAAAGTCCTACCATGCCAATGCTAGAGAGCACATGGTCCACAGCATGCATTCTTTTTTCTTTCTTTCTTTCTTTCTTTTATTTTTAAGATTTTATTTATTTATTTGACAGACGAGATCACAAGTAGGCAGAGAGGAAGGGAAGCAGGCTCCCCGCCAAGCAGAGAGCCCGAAGCAGGGCTCCATCCCAGGACCCCGGGATCATGACCTGAGCCAAAAGCAGAGGCTTTAACCCACTGAGCCACCCAGGTGCCCCCACAGCACGAATTCTTAACAGGAGAATATTTCCTGTAAGGACCAAACATTGTTTCTTATTTTTTTAATGTACAATTTTCTTTTGTATCATATCCT